GGGGGGTCTAAAGGAACATGGAAACTTAGGGTATTTAGAATCAGAAATTAAGGTGGCTAGAGAGACCAATTGTGAAGTTGAAAATAGAGGAACTTCAGATAAAATATCAGAAGCTTCTAGAGGGGACTAAAGTTTTTTTTTAAATCAGAATTTAGGTCAAAGTAGGGACCAAAAGAGGAAATTTTCAGAAGTAAAAGGACTAAGAAAGTTGAGTAAATATCTAGATAGGACAACTGTCCTAACAGCTGTACCAAGACTGTCAAAAAATGTTGTACTATCTGACCTTTTAGGAATTTAGGACAGAATATGCCTTTTTGATGTCGTTTTTATATACTCTATAAAAGAAAAAGACCTTTACTGATTCTGGACAGAATTTTCACACAAAAGAAAAGCTTATGAGATTCAGAATATCCTTTTCCTTTTAAGACTGATTTTGAGAACCCTAAAAAATCTCTAAAGGTTCAGCTACTATTCCATTGGTGGCTAGTTCCATTTTTCTTCTGATTTTAGCAAAGACTTAAAAAATTCTTACTGGGATTTCTGATTTTCTGGTTCAAGTCTGGTTTAAGTTGAGGCTGTGCACTGCTGTCGTTGGCTATTATTTATTTCCTGTTGAAGTTCGTACTATATTCTGTTCTTTGCTGCATCCAGGTACCTCATGAACTTTGGGTGACAAAAGATAAAGTGTAACCTGTTATTTTGAAATGGAACTTCAGATCTTTCCTTTGCTTATGATGTATTCTATGTATTTAGCTAGTTTTTTTTAAACTTTGTGTAAACATGCTGAAATTAGTGTTCTACTCTATAACTTAGTTGAAATATTTGTAAGTATGGATGCTCAAATAGTTCAACTGTTCCCCGTGATGTTTTGATAATTTTGAAATGCTAAGTAGACACATTAGCTCATCTTTCATTATTGGGAACACTAGATAAGTACTGGGTATGGCCAAAGTAGGCCATATTTGATTGTGGGTATACTTAGTTGAAGTATTTTAGCATTTCAATAGTGTTTAAAGGAATTGTATGTTTAAGTTGCTTCATGAATAGGTTTAGAGTTTAATCTTTCATTATTAATGGCATGTTAATAGGTTAAATTCATGATATGATTTTTTATCATCTTTGATCTTTGTCCAAAAATTCTGCATTTTTTTGTGTATATGTGACTTAGAGGATATTAAGCCTCAAGTGGGTATTAATGTCAAAGACCCTTTTATGTAGTTCCAGTATTTATGTTGTTCCTTTTTCTTATATGTAGAAATAAAGGGAATCGGGCCTCATTAGGGACTAAACGTTGCAAGTCCTCTTGTTAAAATAGATGGGCCTGATGATGGCCCAGATGAGGCAATTTTTAAAAATCAGACTCAATGTGCACCTGTCCCATTTTTTCTTTCGTTTTGAGTTCAAGTTTTAGCCCAGCCACTTTCACCAAGT